TTAAGAAATCATTGAGCGCTTACTCAACAGTTATCCGAGTGAAAGAAATCGTTGGTCATTTTCGTCTCGGTTATCAACGAAAATTTAAATAAAAAAAACCAACTATTAGAATACAATCAGATAAGAGGCATCTATTAAAATGAGAATTTCTCCAACTTCAAGACTGAAGGTTTAAAGCACAAAAATCTGTATTCTCAAAAAATGGAATAGTATCAGAATTAAATATATTGCAACTAAATAACAATTAAGTAACGCAAATAAGAATGCCGCACATTGTAAGTCCGGAGATTTTATATCACGAGGCGGGATGAACTGCTGTTAAAATTCTATTCTTAAATCGGCGCTCGACTCCCGGTCTTGATTTGTATTGAAACACTAATTGTAATCCAAATATTTAACTTTATTTTACAGATAACAAATATGAGTCTAATCACGTCGGAGACTGCACTGCGAGCTTCAATCTCACCGACGTTCGAAAAGCGTGCCGCAACGCTTCCTCTGTTGAAACGGCAATCTGACCTATTCTGTTGTTACTGCCGCGCGTTAGTAGGCGAGCAATTCGCTTGGTGGGACACGTGACGGATACCAGCGCCTTGATACTGTCGTCGGGTCCTGGATCGAAGTGTTCCAGTTTCACCTGTAAACCATAAGGAATCTCGTTGGGCAAAATGTCCATCAGTTTTGCCCGCACTGTCTGTCGTATTATATCTTCGCATGTATTATCGCTGTAAACGTGTCCCTCGTACTCCCAGGCTCGCGGCTGAGCGGAGTCCAATAGATAAGTCTGCAAAACACGAGAAATAACGAAACGTAGAGATATTTCAAAAGTGAAAATTATATTATAGTCTCTGAGAATTGTATAAAAAATCTCCGCGGTAGTCATACAAATTTACCCTCAAGTCGTCAACGCCATCCCCGGTCAAGGCAGATATCATGAATACGTCGGAGAAATCTGGAGACACCTTGCTGTTGGTAAGAGTGTGTACGAAATCGAGTAATATATCCTTCTTCTTCAATCTGTCTACTTTGTTGATGATCAGAATTACAGGAATCCTTTTTCTTACATCTTCGGTCAAGAGTCCCAGTATGTTCCAATTGATCTTGTGTCTGGTGTATATGTTCTCAGCGTCCTGCACGATTCCTACAACCTCCGCCGCTTGCAACGAGGCCTTTGGATCTGCTTTGAAGCTGCCGGCTAACTTGAACTTTTTACATTCCTTCTCGGAAACCATGCCGGGTGTGTCCATGAATACCAGCTGAGTATCACCTTCGCAATAAATTGCGTGCGCTTTGGCTTGCGTGGTGTGCACTTTGCAGGATACAGGGCATACCTGTTCAAAGACATAATATACTCTCTCAAATTTTTGGAGCGAAAGTACTGCCGTGGAGTGAAATATTCACTCTATTGGAGTAAGTTTACTCTGTTGGGGTAAATATTCACTTCAATAGGGTGAATATTTCACTCCATGGCAGTATTTTCACCCCAAGAACTTTAGAGAGTACATATGAAGGTTTAGATATACACGATAGAATAAAAATAAGTAACATAAATTTTTGCAATCAACTTTTGCATAAAGCTTTTCCCCTACATTTGTTGTACAGGCAAGAAATGTAAATAAAGCTTTTGATAATTGAAAACTACGGCTGGGATTCATAATCAGATCTTACGCGTTCAAGACTGTCTCAAGATCATCTTCAGATACTCCGTAGCCAATAAATGTTTCATACAGCATCTTTAGATGAATTCAAGACGGTCTTGAATGTAAAAACCGACTGGGGCCGATATTCATAGTCGATTCTTATTTCAAAGTCATCTTAAGTGTTGTCTTAAGAGGCTGATACGGCTCTGTGATTGATTAAAAACACATTAAAAGTATATTCAAGATGATCTTAAATATAAGAACGGACTACGAGTACCGGCCTACGTAGACAGGATAATTTTAATTGGTACAGGGGCAAGAATTAGAAGCAAAAGATGATTACCGATCGCTTAATAAGTTGGTTAACGAGCGTGCTTTTTCCGACATTCGGCGCGCCTAGAAAGGCGATCCTTAGGGACTTCTTGGCCTCGGATGTTATCGACGTGGGACTCCCGTTGGACTGCTGAGCGACTTCTCGTGAATGGTTTACCGAAACGTCAACACTGGTTGAGAAACATCGCCGTAGATACCGTGCGCTCGCGCGAATCGCGTATCTCTCGACCGTAAACAGCATTTCGCGTTTCTAAGAAATCGACGGGATTTTGAAAGATTCCTTGTATGCACGTCAAGCAGATCTCCGAAATTCCTGTTCGTTTAATTCTTCCTTTATTTTCTGTAACATTGTATCGCGCAATTTTCTAGGTTATACTTGCGTGAGCAATATTTTCTTTTCGATTGCCGATTTCCCATTCACGAAGTCGCGGTGCCGTAATTTGGGAGATTCGGGATGTAATTAAGTCTAATACAGACTATGAATAATTAATTTGTAAATTCCTGGAAATCTTCACGTGCCGACCACCGCTTTATCATGTTTGATTTATGCTTTGATTAAAGCTCGTAAACGTCATAGAAAACAAAATAACTAGATGAAAACTCATAGAGCGAATTCGGTAAATTTGGTGCGTTCCCAAATGTACTGACTGAAAACCTGTAAGTCCCAGTCTACAATAGAGATTTAAGTCCTAAGCTTTAAGAAATTGGCCAATCACGGTCAAGTATGAGAAGAATGCGCGACTGTGATTAGTCAATTTCTTAAGGCTTAGGGCTTAAATCTCTATTGTAGACTGGGACTAATGCAGAAT